CCAACACCTGAGGTTTATGCCTTACAGAGATGAAAGGAACTCCCTGTAAGCATAGGCATCCAGAAGGGCCCTCAGGGACCAGCGGAAAGAAGAGAATAGTCACTGTTCTTCAAACTCAGCAGAGCAGAGCTTCTCAAATTGACAAGGGCATATATATCACGTAGAAAACATGGGAAGTCAAACTGGTCTCGAGCCAGGGATATGGGTCAGTGGGTAAAGTACTTGCTGCATAAGCATGTGAACCTGAGGTCAATCCCCAGCAGGTGTGGCAGTGCATGCTTGTAATCACCGCACTTCGAAAATGAAGACAGGCAGATCCCTGGGGCTCACTGGCCCACACAGTCTACTTCCTGTCTGACGATATTCCCTGTCCCCAAAACACAAAACAAAACAAACAAAAGCTAGGTGGACAGTGCCAAAGGACTGAAACCTGAGGCTGACCTCTGACTTCCATACTGCGTGTGTGTGTACAGGCACGCGTGCACACACACGCGCGCACACACACGCGCACACACACACACACAAACACTCAGAAATAGAAAATAAGCCAAGTTTATCTCAGTGGGTCCTGGATGAGGCCTGAAATATAGTATTTCTTTCTGTTTCTTAAAGATTTATTTTTTATTTTATGTGTATGAATGTTTTTCCTGCATATGTTTGTACCACATGTGTTCAGCGCCTGTGGAGGCCAGAAAAAGGTGTGTCATATCCCTTGGAACTGGAGCTATAGATGGTTGTGAGCTACCATGAAGTTGCCAGAAACCCAATCCCATCCTCTGCAAGAGCAGCCAGTGCTCCTAACCACTGAGCTATCTCTCAAGCCCCAAGTGCAGTGTTTCTCATAATGGCCTCTGATTTGAAAACCAGGTTACAAGTGTAGTTCCTTCCTGTACCTGTAGTTCCTCTTCCACTCCTGAAATGGAATTCACCCATCCTCCCTCCCATTCACTCTCTGCCATTTGCAGAGTGGGTTATTTATCAAGAGCACCAGCCGTAACTTCTGAACCAGGTCCCAAGCCTGGTTCTGCACTTTCCTTCATGACCTAATATCTCCAAGTTTAGCCTTCCAGTCTGTCAGATGAGAATGAAACTCACTGTATGGCATCTTCGTAAATATCAAATGAGGTAAAAACACAGCAAGCATATGCCTTGAAGCTAGATCATGGTCCATGACCAATGATGGTCATGGTCTGAGGCCTTATTTTATGACTCTCTTATTTATGCATTCACTCCTGATTCCCATATGATCACCAATAAGCTGGCTTCAGCATTTACTTACACATTACATATTGAGGTAGATATTTTCCATGACCCTCGTGGTTATAGCAATGGACACCATCAATCGACAAGAGATAGACTGACCTGTGAATAACTTGTGATCGTGTCAGCAGAATACAGAACTGGCTACACAGGTCCCAGAGATGAGCAATGGGAGTTGCATAGAGAAAGACTGTTCTATAAAAGTGTGTGTGTGTGTGTGTGTGTGTGTGTGTGTGTGTGTGTGTGTGTGTGTGTGTAAGAAAGCAAGACTGTAATGGGGTAAAATGTCAGCAGATCACAAGCTGTTCATTATCTGGAGTGAACTAAATATGTAGGCAATTATTGACAGGAGCCTGAAAGGAGCAATCGGGAGAGTTGGTCCCCAGCCAAATCCCATCTCCTTTCTGAGCAGGAACAGGGATTGGATGACCAGAATTTAACATTTCAGCAGGCATTTTACAAAGAGGGGACAGGCAAGGAGCTACAGGGTTCCCTGGCCAGAAGGAGTAAGCAGTAGTCCCTCTTACCCCACCCTTCCAGCCAATCCAGCAAGCTTGCTCACCAAACACATAGGCTTTGCTTTGAAAGGGAGCTTTATGCATAGGTCCCTGCATGGAAAGCCCCTGCCTGACCACCCTCCCTTCCCCTAAGATGTCATCTTTTGAAATGACTTCATGTGGAAGCATCGCTAAGTAAATTCGCTAAATGCCTATTCATCCCCATCCGATGGGGAGCTGGTGAAGCGGGAAATGCGAAAATGGCCCCAGCTCCAGCCCTGAAAGATGCTTTCTGGGATTGCCAAATGGAGCCACAGCAGGCTGACCCTGGGAGGCCCAAGACTTCCCAGAGGGGGCTCCTGTAGCCTGGCCTTGGCCCCTTCAATCCTCCAGCCCAAGCTCCCCAAGAGGCCCTGTTTATTATTCCTTCTGCTGGAGACCCATTCAGAGGTTAACTTGTCCTTTTATTCATCAGGACAACAATAATGAACTGTCACAGAGTGTGGCAAGGGGTTTGGTAAATAAGACTGGCTGAGGCAAGAAGATGTAGTGGGCCTCGGGATGGCTGGGAAAGACACTACCTGGTTTTCTTTTAAAAGGACATTGCACTGCTGCTTACCCCAGCAGCTCTTCCGAGGTCCTTTTTAGCATCAGGCCACAGAACCTCAGAACCTTAGCCACCTTGGTTATCACTGTCCAGACACATGAAGGCTGGCCTTTTGGGTCTATCCCTAGGATTTACCTCTGTATACATCAGGAGAGAGCTGCATCCAGTGTACATTTGATTTTACCAGGCTGCAGATGCAGGAGGCTCCTCTGGCATCTGCCACCCAATATAGCTGGCTTCTAATTGGTTTTTATTTCAATAAGAGGCTCAGCATCTCTTTAATCACTCTGCTCCATCTCTTCAATCCATCCAGAATTGTGAGTCTTTCAACATACTCCATCCAGTGAGTGGATGAGGGTTCAGAATGGCAAAGAAACAGAGAGGGGTGGAGGACTGAAGGTAGAATGGAACAGGCAACTGAGAAGTAGAAACCTACTATGTGCCTTTAAATCTACCCGTCCTCCTGGTGAAACTGCATGGTGAACCTGTTGTGTGTTCAGTGAGTTTAAATCTGAACGGCCAGGAGAAAATGAGTTTACAGAGGGCCACTGTTCAGAGGGTCTGGTGGCTTGTTCATTCTCTAGACATGTGGTGAGCTGTGGCAGTGCAGCCGAAACTCACTTCCAGATCCTTTTGTTTCTGGAGCTTCGACATTGCTTTCTAAGCTACTGCCCTGCCTCTCTTCAGTCCAGCATTGGGGTTAGGGAGATGGTACAGTAGACAAACCACATGTTACTCAAGCATGAGGACCTAAGTTTAAAACTGCAGCACCCACAGAAAGACAGAAGCAGTGGTGAGCATCCGTAACCCAGCACTCGGACTGAGATGGAAGACAGTTGCAGGTGACTCCCTAGAAGCTCGCAGGCCAGCCAGAAGAGTGTGTGTAGTGACAAACTAGAGACCCTACCTCAAACAAGGTAGAGGGTGAAGGACTAACACCCAAGGCTGTCCTCTGACCAATATACACGGACCATGACACATGTGTGCTTGCACTAACTTTCACAGACACATACACAGAAACATCACACTCCCGCATGTGCGCCACACACACATACCATACACAATGCAAAAGAGTCCAACCTCACTGTGTTCCCATAGAGCCTCTTTCTTCCTGCCTCACCCAATCAGGAAGAGTGGTTAGCCCCTGCCCTCTGAGGAACACTTCCCCCAAGCAGAGAGAGCAGCCTGGTGACAGAGGAGCTGTCACATCTGCACCACTTACCTGTTTGGGTTTATTCAGTGGAAGAGGCGACTGCATCTCTGGCAGATGGAGACCTGTGTGACTGCCTTTTAAAATACTGTCACGGCTGTATGCACAAGCTGATTAGCTGTGACGGCACTGTGAACGCCGAGATTGATGGTGATAAATTTGGGATAACAATGCTGGGAACAATGTCATCCGTTTGCATGGCGCTTCATATTTTTTAAAGCTCTCTCAATCCACAGCCCGGTGGTTATCAAACACTCGGATTCATTCACTGCTCATTGTGCATTGAAGGAGTCAATTCTAAATCAACTCACCTTGATTCATGCATTCCTTCATTACCATTCATTCATTCATTCACCAGGCATTAGTGTAGGTCCTACTGTGTGCCAACAACTAGCAGATATGACTAGATTCCCCACATGTAGACCTTATAGTGTAATGAAACCAAGAGAGTACTTTCAAAGGGTGATAAAGTAGTGAAGTCAGCATTGTGAGGTGATGAAGTTGTGATATAGGAGGCAGGGACTACTTTAGGTGGAATGGCCAGAAAAAAATACCCTATTTGAAGAAAAGGCATTTGAAAGACCTAAATGACAAGAGCAGGCCATAAGTCAAAAGATATAGGACAAAATGGCCCAGGCACAGCAAGTGCAAAGGCCCTGAGACTGATCTGTATATGACATTAGGTATACTGATGACTGTTGTCAGCCGTGCCCAATGCTTAGCATAGAGATAAAACATGTAAGATACTACACTGTCCTCAGAGTTCCTTGTACAATGGAGTATGTGGGAGAGAGATGCACAAACAGCCTGTGCTGGTTAGCTGTAATTGTCAACTTAAAAAGAAAACCCTAGAATCACCTGGGAAGACAGGCTACTTGTATTAGATTGGCCTGTGTCATATCTGGGAGCAGACATAGTCAGAATTAAGTTCATTGACGTGGGAGGACCCAGCCCACCGTATGTGTCACTATTCACTGGAAGTGGGGGGTTCCTGACCTGTACAACAGTGGAGAAGCCAGGCAAAGTATGACAATCAGTCAAGAAAGCAAATGCGCATGCATGCATTCAGTTCTGTCTGCTCTTGACTATGGGTGTGGTGTGTCCAGCTGTCTCAAGCTGTTGTGTGCAGTAATGGACGATAACCAGGGATTGTGAGATAAAATTAACCTGTTCTCTCCTTAAATTGCCCCCATTCTGGGATGTTACACCACAACAGCCAGAATGAAACTAGAACACAGCCTGTTTTCACATAATGTGGCAGGCCCAGGGACAGGACCCGCCAAAAGGATGCATCATCGGACTGTGTGGTAGGGTCAGGACGGGACAAAGAGTGAAATTTGCTTCCTAGGACTAAGAAGGGAGGCAAGGTCCAACACCTCCATGGTCTACAGAGGACCCTGACTTTCTCTTCTGTTTGTTTCCACAGGACAAATGACCAGCTCGTGGCATTTCTCTCCCGATACCGAGATATGAATTTCCTGAAGTCACATGGCCGGGACAATGCAAGGTGATACAGTGGGCACCGCGGAAATGGAAAGCTTTCTCTGGGGCCTTTCCTCCAGGTTGACTTTACACAGCCAGGAAAAGGTTCCTGTGTGAGAGCTCAAGGCTCCCTCTCGTTAGACAAGGACAGAGAGAAACAGATCCTCTCACAGGCTTGCAGCTTTTCTCCCAAGAAATCTTTTGAATTTATTCCTGTATGTGTACATTTGCATGAGTGTGCAAAGAGTGCACATGTATATGCAGGTGCACATGTACCTGTGTATGTGCATGTATGGGGGTGCCCTGTGTATTCAAGTGCACATGTACTTGTGTATGTGTATGTATGGGGGTGCCCTGTGTATGCAGATCCACATGTACCTGTGTATGTGTATGTATGGGGGTGCACATGTGTATGCAGGAGTACATACATCTGCGTGTGTATGTGGGTGCACATGTGTATACTGGTGCACATGCACCTGTTTATGTGTATGTATGGAGGCACACATGTGTATACAGGTGCATGTGCACCTGGGTTTGTGTACATGTGGAAGCCAAAGGATAGTCCCAAGTATCATTCCTCAGGTACTATCTACCATTTTGTTTTTGAGACAAGATCTCTCACATGGGTTCTGGGGATCAAACTCAGATCCCCATCCTTATACAGAAAACACTTTATCAGTCACACCATCTCCTCAGGCCACTTAGAACCTTTCGCATCTTTTTTTTAATCAGGGAATTTTATGAGTTCACTTTTATTGTGGAAATCCTTGGAGCTGAGTAGTCACGGTTAATTCTTGGATCGTTGGTAGGTAGACTGAGAACTGCATCTAAGTGATGTCCCCAAGTCATTTACTCCTTCTGCCTGTCACTCAAGAGCTACTTACCTTACGCCAAACATATGCCAGGCAATGTTCTAGCCGTGAACAAGAGCATCTTCAGACTCTCAAAGCATTTACTTAACAGTTGAAAGACTCGTGATAGCATGAAGCTAACTCCAGAGGTCTGACCTTCCAGTCTGTCTTCCACACTTCCTCCCACTGCTGGTGTGAATGAGACCTGAGGGATTCAGAATCCCACCTCTCCCACTTGGAGTAAGCAGAGTCAAAAACTTGAGGTGATTCAGTTTACAAAGTACTCACTTCACAAGCATGAGTTCAATTTCCAGAAACCCTGTAAAAATCCAGGCATGGCAGCATGCACCTGTAATCCCAGTGGGATGCGGGGAAGAGACAGTCCAGCTAGCCTGGCCTACGTGATGACATTTCAGACCAGCAAAAAACCCTCATCAAGCAAAATGTATAAGGTGCCTAAGGATCAATACCTGAAGTTGTCCTGTGACCTCCACATGCATGCCATGTATGCACACCTGCTCCTACTTACATGTGCATAAACACATTTGCACATGTACATGAACACTTACCCATACACAAACAGCATCCCTCCTGGTGGAAGAGGCAGTCTTGAGCACCCTCTGGTTCTGGTGTTGAACACAACACACTCTGGAATAGTAGCTCTTAGAAGCATTGTAGCCTGTTAATATTTTATGTTTGGCCCTTTTGATATTTCATGTGGTTGTTTGGTTGTTTGTTTGTTTGTTTGTTTTGGTCAATTATCTCATTTGAATGTATCTTCCATGAGAATCCACATTTCCAATTACCTGCGACAAGCCCAGGAGTCCTTAGCTCTGTGTCTGACTTTGCTCAGGGCTGATATCAGTTCCTATTCCGTCTTCCCTAGGTCATGGCAGTTCTTGTTTGTCTCCATTCCTGATTAGGTCATGGTTGGGATTTGAATTTACTGTCCCTATTAAAGATTATTTCTGCCATGGCTCATGCAGATGGTAGGTTCTGTGACTCAGATTACCTTGTTATCTCAAGCAAGTATTAAGTCCCCTGCCATGAGCTTTCGTGAGCTCATCCCAGAATGATTGGGTTGCATCATTTCTTAAGTTTTGCCTTTGATTTCAGTAGCCTATTGGTTTTTCTTGATTATATTCTGCCACCATTGTATTTAAAAGGACCTTTAAGGCTTAGTGGTGCTCTGTGAATTCCTATTGGCTAGCGTAGCATGTTCCAGGCCACCAATGGTGGAGAGGCTGTCTATGCAAATACAAATCATGGCCACTGTGAGTAATCTTCCTGCTAAGTCCCTGACACTTCTTGGCCCAGTGCATATCTAGTGCAGGCTTTATCTAGTGCAGAATTAAAGATTAATGTTTTTATTCTCAGGAAGTGAAAGGGAGATTTTGTGAATCCAAATGAGTTTTCCTAAGGTTGCCCAGATGATAACATGCAGGATTTGAATCCAGGTCTTTCTGATAGCAAAGGAATGTGTCAGTTAGAACTGGGGACAATTATGTGGAGTGTTTATTATTAAAGGGACCCTGATATTGACAGTCCTCACCAATGAGTATAGAATAAAGCCCTTCTTCTCCTCTACATAACCTATAGTATCTGATTTGTCCAAGCAGCTTACATCATGGGCAAGAAGACCATTCCAGTGAAAATCATGTGGTACAAATCACACCTACCCCAGTAGTACTATTTCAAGCTAATCACTATTTAGTCTTGGCTCACTGTTAACCAGGGGTTCTCCTAATAACAATTAGAGTCATGCACTTTGCAGCCCCACCTCCTAGGATGAAATGATAATCTATTGTATCTCAGGTTGTGTTGTATCACTTGTGTAACTTAACCTCTCTGAGGCTATTTTTTACCAGTAAAATTAAATAACAACAGTCCTAGATGGGTAGGATTAAATGAGATGTTGCCTGTGAGGAGGAGGAGGAGGAAGAAGAGGAGGAAGAGGAAGAGGAGGAGGAGGAGGTTGTAATTGCCATGGAAAACATAAAACCAAAATGCTACTGGTAGGAATGTGTCCTAGACTCTGCCCTTCATGTTAGAGCACACCCTGTATGATCCAGGTGCGCCAGTGATGGGCAGATAGTACCTACATGGCTCAGAGAAGTGTAACATGTTCTTAGCACCTGCATCTTAAACCCTAAAGCCCAAGAATCTCAGATCAAAAGTCCTCACAAGCTCCTGTATTCACTCTTTAAATCCCCAGCTGGGACTCTTATTTACATAAATTAAGGACAATATTTTTAGTGTTAATTTAGCAATAAAATGAGTTAGTGTGTCATTGCCTACAACCTTCTTTCCTTTGTTAGTCAAGTCTTCAGTCTTCCCTTAGTGTGTGAACTAGGCTTTTCACAGCCTCTTCCATTGCCTCTATCTAGTGGGCAGGGGTGTATCCAACTTAAGTCTGGTCCCCTTACCAGTGCAGTGATACAAATAATTCTTTATGTGGTTTGTGACATAAGAACACTTCAGACTAACTTGTGTATGAGGAGAGTTTACTGGAACAAGTTACACTGACTTTGGGTATAACTGAATTGAGCAGCTCAAATGACAGTACCAAGCCTAGATGAGTCTATTTTCTTGAGTGTTGACTTGATTTTCTCACTTTCGGTTGTGGCCATTAACAACCCAGTCTCTGACTGATTTTAACATACAAGCAAGGAAGCTGAGATACAGAGAAATGTTGGACTCACAGAATTAGGGTGGGGCTAGGACTCAAGCCCTACTGAGTGTGCCCAAAGAGGCCAATCCCAAATCTCCCCAGTGTGTCACTTCCCTGTGTGCCAGCTCTGCTTTGCTCCAGTGTGCCAGCTGATTTTTTTTAATTATCAGTTCTTTGGTAACTTTGTACAGCGTGTGTCTTAATTTACTATGGCTGTGGTGAAACACCATGACCAAAGCAACTTGGGGAGAAAAGGGTTAATTCGTCTTATGCTCCCGCGTCATTGTTCATTATCAAAGGCAGTTGAGACAGGAACCAAATAGGGCAGGAACGTGGAGGCAGGAGCTGACTCAGAGGACATGGAGGGTGCTGCTTACTGCCTTGCTCATCATGGTATGCTCAGCCAGCTTTCTTATAGACCCCGGGACCACCAGCCCGGAGATGGCACCTCCCACAATGGGCTGGGCCCTCCCCCATCAATCACTAACTAAGAAAATGCTCTATCGGCTTACCCACACCCTGATCTTATGGAAGCATTTTCTCAGTTGAGGTTCCTTCCTTCCAAATGACTCTAGTCTGTTTCAGGTTGGCTTACAAACCAGTCAGCACCATGTGTTCCATTATATTCATCCCTTTTACCAACTCCTCCCAGACCCAGTCTCTTTCCTATACATCCTACTTTATGCCCTCTTTATTTTTAATCCTAAAAATACAATTTTAAGCCATCAAAACCAACTTGTGTGGCCATGTATTCTTGGCCCTGTGGTCTTCCACTGGAGCATGGTCAACTTATATCCTCCCTCTCCCTCCTCCAGCGCTATCAGATGTCAGGGGCTTCTTAGCTAGGGATAGAGCTTTATGCCACCTCCTGTCTCCATGCTTGCATTTGATCTTGCATGCACTTGCATGGGTCCTCTGCATGCTGCCGCAACTGCTGTGGGTTCATGTGTGCTACCCCTGTGTCCAGAAGACACTGTTTCCTTATAGCCATGCACTGTCTCTAACACGTATAGTCTCCCTGTCCCCTCTTCAGCAGTTGTCCCTAAGCCTTGGGAGGAGGGGGTGTTATGTAGAGGTCTCATTTAGTACTTTGTAGTTTTTTTAATCATTTCTTGTTGTGGGTCTCTATTAGTCACCATCTGCTTCAGCTAGAAGCTTCTTAGATGAGGGTTGAGACATGTGTTTATTTATGGATATAACAAGTCATTGGGAATCAAGATAATATTATGTCCATTTAACAGAATAATAGTAGATTCTATCTCCTGGGCTTTCTAACCTATGTAACCAAAATATTTGTGGCTTGATAATGTGCTGGGGTGATGCTGAGGCAACTACTCAGCTTAACTGAGCCTCAGCATTCTCCCCTTTGCAGAACAATATAGTCAAATGAGCTAGTTGCCAAAGTCCCATTCCAGTCTGGTATGGCTTGTCTCTAGACTGACTCTTGTAAGAGTTTGAGAGGCACAAGGATGTAAGGAACAAAAACAAGCGGTGGGATGCAGC